ACATGTGCATGTGTGTGTTATAAAGTTGATGGTGACTGACTATTCCTGAGAACATGTGTTAGATTTCAATACCCATAATCCTCAGGTAGCCTTGGATCATGCTGGTTTTGGATGATGGGAACTGAAATCCAAAACCTCTGGTGAGTACTAGGTTAGAAAAAAAGGTTCTGAATAATACCCAGAGGCTTATGCAAAAAGGAATTTATAATCTACTGTATTAGCATCAAAGTAAACTGAACTTGTTACCCTTTTTGGCAGTAAGAAAACAAGGAGAGTTTTTACAATAAGCCAATTTTGTCTTGCAGTTTGGACCAAAGTTACAGTAGAGGGTCAAAATATTACTCTGTACTTTCTCAAACAATGAACATTTAAGCATATTTTCTATTAGCCTTAATTCTTCTCTACCAATGCCATGATGTAAATTGAAGAAGATATGTATATAATTCTCTTGCAGTTGAAGGACTGGCTAAAATTTTAAAAGAGTGATTGCATTTCTTCATGTAAATATAGTTGTTAGTGAGATATTATCCAAAGTTAATTGAACTTAATGCTATCTTGACAGTTTGGCATCCATTTAAGTCAAAAATAAAAATGCAGTGCCGGATTTCACCTGCATGTATAAGAGTAGTATGAAAGGTAAATTAAACACTGCAAAAATTTCCAGCTGCACTAAGTATACATTAAAAGTGTGAACATTCTGCAGATACCACAACTTTCACTCAGCTAAAAAGTGGCATGAAGGAAAAAAATACCTTTTGATCATACACATATACATACAGCAAAAGCGACATCTATAACCAACAATGACACCAAAAGGATAACATACAAGCAGCCATGTCATAATTCAAATGATATTCTTGCATCACATATCATCTGCCTCTTCTTGCCCATCTCTGGAACACTTAGGAGCATTTCAGTACCGTAGAAGTGGTGGAGACTCACCAATAGGGTTTCTGTCAAAAAACAGCACTGGAGTTCTCAAGACTGACTGGAACATTCTGCTGTGTAAAGTCCGAGCTGCATTAACCAAAATGTGAAACGTAAGTAGACTTCTCAGTACGCTGAAAAGCATCGTAGCCACAGTTAAACCTGTAAATAAATGAAGTACAGTATTACGAAATGCAATCTATCAACTTCAATCAAGAATCTATTGATAAACATTTTTTGAAAAATCATGCATCCCAGTTATAGTAGTTCTAAAGTAATTTGCTTAATGTCGATACTGATTTTCATACTGTTCATTTAGCAAACCTTCTGCAACAAGAACATTAGTAATTCTGCCCAAATTCCCTACAAAGTTATTTGCCTCCCACTAGGTAACTGAGGTACCTGCTGACAAAAGGAATTGTGCAGTTTTTTGTAGAAGCCCATGATCTGACTTAAGTTCATAACAAAAGGAAGGAAAGACACTTCCTAAATCTTTTCCTTATACTTGTCAATTAGGAGCTGATTTTTTTTCCTCTGCTGTTTGGACAGTTTCTTTTCTGCTCAGATGGAAAGAGCTTGTTTTCAACTAGATGCTGTTGGACTGCATCAACTACCACACCAGTTAGCAATCTGAAAGTTGTTGGTAAGCAACTGGTGCTGCCCCTTTTGTTGGAGCTTTCATTATTAGGTAGTTTTGCCAGATGTTACCCAATCTTCAATTTCACCTCCTTGCAGCATGTTGTTAAACTGCTTGGCAATGAGTGGGTGCAGACCAGTCAGATGTTTCACCCAAAAACTATGCAGTTTGTCTTCACCTGGTGCTGACCAATTCTTGATTTTCCTTGCCCTTTTCTCCACCATTTCATTAGAAGTTCTTTAATTTCAGCTTCTTTTTTAGTCTTATCCACCTCCTTTATGTAGGGGACATGGTGGCGCAGCGGTTTAATGACGCTGAAAGTTGCTGGCCAGAAATGGTCGACACTTCAGCGGTTCAAGGCCAGCTCCTTGATGAGCTCCTGCTTCCTCCCCAGCTCCTGCCAACCCAGCAGCTTGAAAACGTACGTGAGTAGATAAATGGGGACTCTCACCCCAGTGGGAGGAAAAATGCTGGCGGCGCTTCCATGGGAGACGGGACCAAGTTGCTGGTAACGCGGAAGCCGCGCACACCTGAAAAAGGCGCAAAAGCAATGAAAACCCCGCCTACTGTGCTCGCCAGCTGGGCTCTGCTCTAGGAGGGAGGCAATGGCAAACCACTTCCCAAACACCTTGCCTTGAAAACTGCAGGGACTCATCCAGGCAGTCGTCACAGAATCGGTAACGACTGAGTGCGGATAAAAAAAAAAACCTCCTTTATCCAAGCAGCATTCTTGTTGTATTTCTTTGGGTTGTCCAAAGAACAGCTACACCCAGAATTGCTGTTTCTTCTTTATCAGGTGTTAACTGGTTCATTGCAGGCTCTCCATTGATAGATTGAGAGAAATGTTTCTGATTCAACTGAAATTGAAGATTCTACGTACAGTGTGCAATTTGAGCTTCGTATCTGCTGATCTTTTTGGCTATGGCTGATATTTGCTACTTTATTATTTCCAGTACTTCTTTGAACTTCCTTGTTTCTAAGGGATACTTCTTGATCAGGTATTCTTTGGTCTTCTTGTTCTTCAGCTTCTTTTCTTTCATCTATTCTAGCTTGCTTGCATCTGATCTTACCACACAGATCTTATTTTCCAACATGATCTTCCATTTTGGTGGTGCACTGTTTGGCTTTTTTCCTTGTTTGTTGATTTTGCATCCAAGGTATTCAGTTATAACTACAGCCATGCTGTACATCAGTTGGTTTGTTTCTTGCAGTGACCTGGGGTTTATATTTAATATTACAGTATTGGTATCATTTAATACTTGTGCTAGCTGTTTCTCTGTAACAAGCTTCAATGCAGGCAACCTTATTCTGCTCTTTTTGTGCTGTTCTACATGCTCAGTTATTCTTTGTTTCAATTACTCTTGTTTTTTAGTTAGAGGAGATGGTACCTAGTTTGGGAATGAAAATGATTCAATAGCTATGCTGGCTTCCTATACTGCCAACTCCCCCTAGTTTGCTTCTACAGCCTCTACAGTCTGAGCTGCTTCTGGCAAGGCTTTGACTTCTTTGACCTCAGTAGACCTTCAAATTCCACTTCTGTGAATACGTTATTTCATATTATAAATTGACATTGATCTGCTAACCTCTGTTCTGTCATTTCTGATTCTGAATATTGTTCTTTCCAGAACTGGTGCATTCTTTTTAGATATCCTCTTCTCATTGGACTTGATTTGTAATAGCAGATCATTCTTTCTTTCTTTTCAGTCTTCATATATTTGCGATGGGTAAACAACCTTCCTTCTAGTAGTCCTACAGCTGCTGGTGCTGGTTGCTCAGCCAACAGTCCTGAGTCCTGTAGCCCACTTGTCACCAGATGTCCAGGAATTAGAACACCAAGCATGGTCCTATTGATACAAGCGACACCTAATCCAGTATACGTTTCTATAAATTCGTCTCACCATATTGTTTATGGGAGAGACACTCTTCATCTGGCTCCTCTGATGAGACCTGTCCAATATGGTTGAACCCTTGGAATAGTTCTCATACTCCTCAGAGAACACAGACCCCACAACTACGTCAAAGAAGTCCTCACTGGGGGTAAACTATTATGGTTAGTCACACAGTCAGCCTGGACTGTTTAAACTGGATTTGGTATTTTTATCCACCTACTGAGTCCTTCCCAAGGACTTGGGATAGGTAGATATTATTGTTTGATGGTGTTAAAAGTATCGTTGCAGGATATTAGCTGTTCCAAGTAAAGCTGCCTTTTGCAATTGACTGATGATTTTGTCAATGCCAATGGTACTCAAGTAGTGCTCCAGATGTGTTGGGATTGCACTTAAGGTGCCTATTACTATTGATACTATCTTTGCTTTCTTTTGCCACAGTCATTCTATTTCTACTTGCAGGTCTTTATATTTTGTGATTTTCTCCAGTTCTTTCTCTTCTATTTGCTGTCTCCAGGTATTGCAGTGTCCATTATCTAGACTTTTTTGTCATTATCATTGTTGTTGTTGTTTTATGAGAACTGACCACAGCACTGTAGTAAACCAGGGTGAATAACCTTTCCACGGGGCTATCCTTTCATTCTGTTTTTCTCTTTTTTTGTGTGTGTCAGAGAGAACATGACTGGTGATCCACTGGAGCAGGTCTTTTTCAGTCTGCTGTGGGACACGTTTTGGGGATGGAGTTAAAGGAGCTAAATTGTACTAAAAATATCATTTCATACAACACATGTCTTATTTCAGGGAAAAAATGTGCAGCTAAAAACAGACAACTCGCCCCAGATTTCAACATAAGATGTAGGGAGGCTCTGGAGGCACAAAATGTCTATGGGGGCCATCTTTATGCTGTGGGATGCTCATCCCTGTAATACACAGTGGTTCCTTAACAGTCAAATGGAAAGGGTAGACAGATATTCTTTATTACAGTCACTGACCAATCAACATAGTATAAATAGCAAAACATAGAGAACAATAAGATAACCAATAAACAATAAGATAGCAATAAGATTACTTAATGTTCAGTTAGTCCCTCAAGTCCTGGCTATGTCAGCAGTGACATTCTAAGATGGCTCCATGGTTGTTAATATCTACTCTCCTGTGCCTAGTGGTTTGTATTTTTAATAATGACTGTTTTACATTTTTAATAATGATCGTTTTTATATATTTATTGTTTTATTTAATTGTTGTATGACGCTAAAGTCACTTTTTGTGAGATGGGCGGCCATATAAATTTGATAAATAAAGAACACATATTTTAACAATAACTTAACCCTTGGCAGCTTTTACCAGCTATCTATCTATATTTAAATAAAAAGGGTGCCTGAAGGCAAGGATTTTGAAAGCCAGTGTTCTGGATAATTTCATATCCATTTAAAATTGCTGCATGCTATTTTATATAGTATATAAACAATAGGCTGGCAACAGACATACAGATCCTGCTGATCAGGAGTAGGACACAGAACGTTTAGGGCAGTTAAGAATTAGCAGGGGAAAGAGAACATTTGAATATGAGAAACCAATCTCTTAGCATGGCTGAAGGGATCATTCTCAGTTTCATGGCTTGTGATTTGTTAATTTGTTATAATACTGGAAGAAAATATATCTAGTTTTTTAAGGGTTGGGGCTTCTTATATATTCTAAAAGCAAAAAGTAATCAAGCATAGCAAACTGAGGACCAATTTCAAATTTCCAGTATGTCTGTTCATAATAATGAAAATGTAGCTGGAATAACCCATTTGGAGAGATAAAAGCTACATCCTTACGATGAATGAGTTTTCAAATGTCCAATTTTTATTTACCTTCCAGATCAGGTAGTATGGAGCCTATAAAGTGGTTGTATTGTTCCTGAATTGACTGTGCTTTCCTGTTGATTGTATGGCATGGTTTTTAATTGTTTGAATGTTTCTAATCCTTGTATTATTACTTTATCTTTTGGTTTCCTAGTATTGTTTTTGTTTTAATCCTGTAAGCTACCCAGAGTCATGTATGTGAGATGGATTGTTATATAAATCAAATCAATCAATCAATCAATCAATCCCTCCTAAAATCCAGAACATAAATCAAATCTTGCCCGTCTTATGACTATTTTTAAAAGGATAATCTAGCTAATACAGTCAGGAAACAAAACAGCATCTTCCTAATCTATAATGATGACAGTTAAAAGTTGTGGGAAAACAACATCTTTTAGGACCATGGCTAATTAGCCAGAATTCTGCAAATTATAGTCACATTTTAAAGGTTTTTACCTGCATACATTCCTAAATACCAGTGAAGATCCAAAGTTTTTGTGTTATTTTGCCCACTATGTTCCATTTCAGTGACATTTAGCTTTACTTGCTGGTTTGCCCTGTGGACACATGGAAAGAACATACTTCAAATATGTTTGCAAGCACATGAGAATAGCGTGGCTGGAATAAATCTCTTGTCTAAGATAGCATCCAGCAAAGGTTAGTAAAATTCTCCCAAGCAGCTCACTTTGCAGCCATGAAAGCAACAGACCTTCTTCAATTTAAGTCCTTAATTTCTGAAATAATAAACCAGATGTGGAGTTCTGCTATTATATGTTAAATAAGAAAGAGGAAAGTCAATGTGGGGATACCACCTGCTTTGGCCATGTTATACCCTGAAACTAAATAGTAAAAAACAGGAGTTTGTTCCAAATTATGGTATAACTTAATGAAAACATTTGTATTACCAAATAACAATGTATGGTAGAATAAGGCATAGAAATATAATACAAATAACAATACTGTAATTTTTTTTAAACAGTAGAGTATTAGGTAGAGTTTAAAATGCTAAAACATTTAACACTATCCCAGTCTGGTGTCAGAACCTCCAGCAATCAATCTATCAGCTCAGTAGTTGCTTGCTTCATTTCTGTCATTTGTTTAGTAGGGGGGGGGGGGGGAGTAAGGAAGATGAGACCGTTGACCCAGATGCACTGTTATCAAGGACCAGGAATGCACAAGGTCGTACCAACATAAGAACTCAGTGCTAATTGAGGGAAGGAGGGGCAACGAGGGGGTAAAAGTAGAGTTGGAAAGTGCAGGCTTTTAGTTTCACCAATGCTGTGAAGCTGCATGTACATCTCAATAAATGAACTCCTTTTTAAACTTACTAGAAGTTTCAAGAGATTTTTCTTCATTGGTATTTGAACATTGTAGACCTGACATTTTGCTGAAACTCCTTCAATCTGATTTTTCCTGAGATGACAACTCACCGAGGAATATCCCCAAAGTCATCATGCCAAAGGAGGAGAAGGGAATTCTGGAGGAAATCCTAGAAATGTAGGGCGAGTCCACGGAAACCGAACTAGGAGCCACGGGCAGGATCGCGAAAGAGCTGTCACCCCTTTTGGAGATTGAAGAGATCCTAATCCCGTCCCAAGCAATGGAAGCCCAGGTGGTGATGAAAAGGACAGAACGCCGACGTGGCTGATTGTGGGAACCTCAAAGCCCGCTGGAATTTTGGGAGGCAACCAAGGAACCGCCACCACTGAAGCCAGAACGACTGAGATGGTCTGTGGCAATCGGGGAGGTGACCGGGGCAGCAAGAGCTACCATCAAGCCGTGGGGCCATGAGCAACATTTCCAGGTGCTGGAGGGAGAAGTATATGCACTCCATGGCAAGATGTGGGCAGTGAGGGAAGAACTGAAACCCCCGACAACCATGCTAGGGAGGCTCCTAACAACAGGGGGGCAAGGTCGGCCACCCGCTGGACCAGACTTGGGGCAGCAACCAATGGCTGGAAGTCAACGCAGCGCCTGGAGAGACTTAGAACCCCAGGAGCTCTAGCTTAGGGGACAGGCGATTGACCAATGGCTCAGGGTTGCCCAGCAGAAGGGGAAGGCGATCTGCTAAAACAATGGGGCTTAGACAAGCCATATGGGGGAGACCCGAACGAGCTGGCCAGTTTCCTGAATCAAGTCAGGATTTGCATGGGAAGTTGCAGACATCTGTTTCCGAGCGATGCCTGGAGGCTCATTTATGTATCCTGCTATTTGGAGGGCAGGTGGCTGAATGGGTAATTGACCTGCAAGAAGCCGATGCACCAGAGCTGGAAGATTTCAATGGATTCATGATAGCATTGCAGGAGTGGTTCAAGGACCCCTGTGCTCGCACCCAGGCACAAGAGGCTATCATGGAGCTCAAGCAAGGTACCTGGTCTGTGACCAAATATGCCTTAGAGTTCAGGCGACTCGCAGCTAAACTCCGTGATTGGCCAGAGTTTTTTAAAGTGTGGCAGTTCCAGAAGGAACTAAACCCCCAGCTATGGGAGATGGCATTGGTGAGAGGATGCCCAACAATGCTGCAAGGCTGGATAGCCCACATCTCGGTGATGGAGTCCCAATGGATGGCAGTTCGAGGATTGGGGGGCACTGCCCACCAGAAGACGCCAACGGCTGCCCGCCCACCGACCCAGAAGGGAGGAGGGAGAGCCATGGGGGCCGGAGCAGGTGCCCGACCAGCAGGAAAATCCTGTTTCAACTGTGGAGAGGAGGGGCACTTTACATCCACTTGCCCAAAAAAGTCAACCCAGAAGCCGCCGGTGAAGCCTAAGCAGACCGGGAAATCGGCAAAGCTAGTGAAGCTGGAGAAGAAAGGAACCGCCGCAGCGGGAGAGGAAGAACAGTTCCCAATTCAGCTGATGGTCAATAGCAAACAGGAAGATGAGGATCAGCTGGCGGAAAACTCCGGCCACCTGTTTTAAAGCACACCTGAAAGCAGGCAGAGGACCTGAGGCATGAAGAGTCAAAGCCACATTTGACATTCAGGTGAGTCCCATGATGGTTGGGGTGAAAATAAGGGCTCTGAGGACTACTCGTAAGGCAGAGTTGACAGCTCTAATAGACTCTGGGTGCACCCAGTATTTGATTAATCCTGTCCTGGTGAATGGCTTGGGACTGCAGGTGTGGAGACTAAAAACCCCTATTGCATTCAGACAGTTGGATGGATCGACTGTGGGAGGGGGTCCTGTGGAATATTACATGGAGGCTTTTGAATTGAGGATTGGTTCTCATCAAGAGACTTTAAAGTGCTTAGTCATGCCCATTGGGGGCCACCTGTTGATCTTGGGTATGTTGTGGCTAGAGCTATGGACACCATACGTAGACTGGGGCACCAAAAGCGTGACTTTCCTGGATGGGACAGGGAGCGGAGAAGGGAAGGTTGCCAGCAAGGCATCTGGGACAGAGGTAGCAGCAATCGGTGTTCCAGTGCTAACCCAAGGTGACCCAGGGGTGCTAAATCAATCCAGGAGGAATATAGAGACTTGGCCAGGGTTTTTAGTGAAACCCTCAGGGAGTTCATCGACAAAAATTTACAAAGGGGTTTTATAGAACCTGCTAAATCCCCTCTGGCGGTGCCAGTGCTATTCCGGGAGAAGAAGGATGGGTTGTTAAAGCTCTGCACTGATAATGGGGGTTGAATGCCATTTGCAAGGAGAACAAGTACCCCTTCCCACTAATGAAGGACTTGCTAGCCCATTTGGCAAAGGGGAAAATTTTTACAAAATTGGACTTGCGAGATGCCTACTTTAGAGTAAGGATCAAAGAGGGAGATGAATGGAAGATACAATTTCGTTGCCCCTTGGGCTGTTTTCAATTTCGGGTGATGCTGTTCAGGCTCTCAGGGGCCCCGGGGGTCTTCATGCAACTGATAAACGAGGTGTTACATGAATTCCTGTACAAAGGGGTGTTGATGTATTTGGATGATATTTTGATATATACTGAAAATTGGGATGAGCATGTAAAACTGGTGAGGGAAGTGCTTAAGAAATTGTTGGATGTGCAATTGTATGCTAAACTTTCAAAGTGTGAGTTCCACCAAGAGCAAATTGATTACCTAGGGTATCAGATTTCCAGCTGAGGGGTGGAAATGGGCCTGAGCAAAGTGCATGACATAAGAGGCTGGGAAGCACCAAAAACAAGGCGCCAATTACAAATTTTCTTGGGATTTGCTAACTTTTACCGCCAATTTATCCCCAATTTTGCTCAAGTTGCTCTGCCTCTCACTGACTTGCCAAAAACCAAGGGGAAAGATAAGATCAAAGCCCAAAAGCCTGGGGCGCCCCTAGTTTGGACAGAGGAATGCCAGGAGGCATTTGAGCACCTAAAAAAGCTGTTCACAGTGGAACCCACATTAAAACATCCGGACCCATATAAACCGTTTGTAATCCAAGCGGACGCCTCCAATTTGGCAATTGGGGCAGTGCTATTACAGAAAACTGACAGCAGGATGTTACATCTTTGTGCCTATATCTCCCAGAAATTTACTGAAACAGAGAGAAGATGGTTAGTGTGGGAGAAGGAAGCATTTGCTGTAAAATGGGCATTAATGAACTGGAGGCATTTCCTAGAGGGAGCTGAAATGCCTTTTGAAGTTTGGACTGATCATAAAAACCTGGAGGCTCTGAAGTCCCCACGGAAACAGTCTCCAAAACAGGTCCGGTGGGCACAATTCTTTAGCCAATTTAAATTCACCCTAAAATACATTTGGGGGGGAAGAACTTCCTAGCCGATGCCCTCTCTTGACTGCCGCAACATAAAAGACAGAGAGAGAAGATCGTGGCACCAGTGATCCCTATCTGTCAGGAGGCTACAGCAGTGGTCACTAGTGGGCACAGTAAAGAAGAAAAGCCAGAGCAGGGACTGTTAAAGGAGCTAAACACGCATATGCAGAAAGAGGAATGGTTCCTACAAACAAAGACTCCCTGGCAGAGAGAAATGGAGTTTGGTGGATGGGAAACAGATTATACGTGCCAGTGGAGGCTAGAAAATTAGTACTGGAAAGGGGGCATGACAATAAAACAGCTGGGCATTTTGGGTTTGTGAAAACCCTGCATCTCCTCCAGAGACAATTTTGGTGGCTAGCGATCAGAAAAGACGTGGCCGAGTACGTTGCCAGCTGCCCTACCTGCGCTATGGCAAAAAACTGCAGAGGAAAACCAATGGGCTTGTTGCAACCCATAGCAACTCCCACCAAGCCCTGGAAAAAAATCACTATGGACTTTATTGTAGAGCTTCCTGAAAGTAAAAAGCGGACTGTAATTTGGATGGTCACGGACCTGTTTTCTAAGCAAACCCATTTTATAGCGTGCTTGGCAATTCCGTCAACAACCCAATTAGCGAAAATGTTTATTCAACATATATATTGTTTGCACGGCGTTCCCAATCGAATAATAAGCGACCGCGGAATTCAGTTCACTTCAAAATTCTGGTGAACTTTCATGAAACTCATCAGAGCCAAACAGGGACTGAGTTTGAGTTACCACCCCCAGACGGACGGGGCGACTGAACGGCAGAATGCCGGCTTAGAGCAGTATTTGAGATGCTTTGTAAATCATCAACAAGATAATTGGGTTGATCTGTTGCTGTTTGCCAAGGTAGCCTACAATAATGCTGTGCACGAAAGTAGAGCGGGAAAGCGCAGGCTTTTAGTTTCAGCAATGCTATGAAGCTGCATGTACATCTCAATAAATGAACTTTTTTTTCTTATTACGAGTTTCAAGAGATTTTTCTTCATTGGGATTTGAACATCGTAGACCTGACATCTGGGATCTAGAGGTTTTTTAAACAGATGCCAGGGCACTTCTTGATGTAGATCATTTCAAAGCTGGGATACCCCCAATGGACTGGGGGACACAGCCTCTGGGAACAAAATTTTGTGAATGCAAGATTTCTTTTATAAACTGAAAAATTCATTCACTGAAAATTCATTTTTTGAGGTGGTTTGAGAAAGGCAGCGCAAAAAAGTACTACACACAAACAACAAAATGTATTGAAATTATGTAATGTATATTATGGAACAGAGATTACAAAATGCCTGGATATATAAATTAATGACGAATAGCCAAGAAGAAATTAAGATAAATGTAATCCAATATTGATTTGCATGTTAAAAGGATGCAAAAATCTTTAAAGAATTTATACTGGTATTCTATTTGTCATCATGACATTTACTGAATGTTCTTGAATGTTCTCTTATATACTCTGTATGCTTTGTTTTGTTGTTTCAAAGGTATTTTTTAAACTTTGAAAGTGTACTTTATTTCATTAATCATATATAATTTCAATAAATGTGTCTATTATATATTATACATTTTTTCAGCCTGGGTTAGAAAATTCACTTCCATTACACTCACTCTGTTTTTATTAAGAATAATATTTTTGTTTGTACTGTAGTTTTAACTTTTTGTTTTAATTTTAACCTTGTAGTTTTTAACTTGTATATTCTTTTCTAAGATTTTATAGTTTTTTACTTGTAAGTCCGCCTAGAGTCACTTGTACAGTGAGATGGGTGGCATATATAAATTTTAGAATAAATTAAAAATATATGTATCTTAAATAAAAGCACTAAGGATTTTCAACAGAGTGTAATTACACACTAGGAAAATCATAGCTAGAAAAAGAGGCAGTCTGTGCTTTGTTTAATAGCAAATGACTGGAGTAAATACAAACCTATAAAGTGGCTTTTCATTACCAGACCCACTTGTTGATTCAGTTTAATACTGACTGCTCTGCTAGAAGTCCCATATGATCATTAAGTGCTGTGAAAAATCATGGTATATCTGGATGATCTCCCAGCATTCATCCGAGAAGTGGATTTCTCGTTCTCCTAATTGTTATTTTGAACAATCTTCTTTTTGGATTTTATTATACTAATGAGCTGCACGTTTTTAGATTTTTGAGAGAGAGACAGAGAGGGAGAAATTTGGAACATTTTTAATGGAAGATGGTAAAAAATACAATGTATAAAATAAAAATGAAATAATGGTCTTAGGGTGTAGTAAAGAGAAAGGGAGACTCCGTTTTTCCATACATTCAAATTGTCCTTACCAAAAGTGCTATGAATTAATATGAAGAACTGTTTTACAGATTTCTAAAGAATAAAAGTATTTTTATCCTGTTTTCTGAAAAGAATATCTGTCAAAAGTTCTGATTTCTTCACTTGCCACATTCTTAAAGTGATCTCTTGCAAGATTTGTATAGAAACAATGACTCACCAGTAAGAAAGCCACCAGTCCTGAAGCACATAAGTAACCTAAAACCGTTAAAAATAGTGGTTTTAAAGTTTATTTTGGATTATTTAATGCCTTGTGGTTTAAATTCCAAAGATGTTTCAAGCATCATAAACTATCCTTGGGACTTTTCTTTTTAGCTTTACTTTCCAAAAAATAAATGCATACATACATACATACATTTGTATGCAAAAAGTTTAGGTTCTTCTAGACAAATTATATTTTTCAATAAGTGAACAGAAGCTGACACAACTTCTACATAGTGCAAAGTTAATCACAACACCTTTCTGCAAATTTGAATGCATACTTATTATTATTGGGTAGTTGTTAACAGATTCAAAGTAAGAAAACAATGACTATGGAAACTGCAAAGGTTTGGACATTCTTCCAGCCAATAATTTGTTATATCTCTTATGGCAAAGAAATATGGTACCCAGATAGCCAGCTAAGAGTCTTTATATTCTTCCTTTGGATTTTTTTCCACTCTTCTAGAACGTCTAGCAGATATTCTTCTAGTTCAGAAATATCCTTAGATCTCCTTGTATGCATTGCAACTAAAGAGTTTGGATATTTCAGCAAGGCAACAATCCGAAAACATACCTCCAAATCACATACAGATTTTAAAAATTGAAATAAATTGAGGAACTCTTCCTGAACGATTCCGAGTTTTGGTTACCAAAATAAAAAATCTTATAGATCCCCTGAACCCAAGCACGGTCCCTGGTGGCAATTCTATCCCACTGCTGAAGGTTAATGCCAATTGGTGAGCATGATCCCCAGAAATAGGGTACTGTCACTATCATGCCAATATTTAAAAGGGGATGATCCAGCCAACTACTACCCTACACATTGGGTATTGCTGAATACCATTACCAAACTTTACTCCCACCACCTAAACAACAAAATACGGGAATGGATAGAGGCAGGATCAATTTTGGGCAGTGAGCAGGCTGGTTTTAAGTTCAACCACTCCACATTAGATCATGTCTTGGTCTTATGACATCTTATTGAAAAATTTAGCTGCAAGAACAGGTCTGTACTATTTGTAGCCTTCATAGATTTTAAATCTGCCTTCAACTCCTTATCAATTGTTTGGGAGAAACTGAGTAACATGAATATGAACAGGCATCTCCTGTTCCTAATTCAACACCTTTATAATAAGACTGTTAGAATTAGATGCAACCCTCAAGGCATTTTGACTAACCCAATCCCTGTTCAAAAAGCAGCTAGACAAGGCTGCATCTTAGCCCCTACGTTATTCAACCTCTTTTTAAACTCCCCACAGGCAGATTAACCAACTTGAGCTTCTATCCTCCCAAGGATACCACCTGCTTTGGCCATGTTATGTTTCGTAACGTTTAGTTTTGCCCTGGCAAAAACTAAACTGAGCAGGTTCAAAGTTTCAAGTATTTGGAGGTAGTGTTCCAGTCTACAGGTGCTTGGAAGGTGCACAGTGATGATGATTCTTTATAAGCACAAAGGAGTACAGCAGCTTTTATGAATTTTTTTCCAGACAATGGGTAAGGACTTCATACAAGTAGCTCTGGAACTTTTCCTAGTCCTTGACCCAAATATTGTTTGATGCTCATTTGGGCCCATTCCCTGATCCCAGCCCTGGTCCCAAATCACCTGAGACCATACAAAGTTTTTGTGAATCCTTTCTCAAGTCACCTTGGATTATCATTAGCTGTCTAGGATTATCACGTATAGATAGGCAGCTGTGTTAATTAAGTCAGCCTTAGATGTATATCAATGTGACGCTCAGAAGAGAAGCAGGTCAACAAAAAGAGGAAGTAAGAGCATGGCTGTTAATATTCACCTATTGCCTCTTTCTCAAATGCCACTTTTTCCTATCACAAGTTCAACAATTTCAATCTTCACAGCAACAAGCAATTCTGGGAAACTCATGGCTTGCCACCTGAGCAGCTGCTTCTTTTGGAATACACTCAGGCCAAAAGAATCATTAGAGAAGAAGGGTCCTAGATACAGAATCTCTGGAATGACATCAGCCATATTCCAGTCCAAGTTAGAGTGCAAATGACTTATTCCAAGATGGGAAGCAGGCAGATATTTGATTACTTTACTTTCCCCCGCATAGCAAAGAGCCTTCCTCAGAGCCAGGCCTGATGTTCACTCTTCTCAGTTCTTAACGGGAGCTTTACCAAAGTCCCATGTGTAGGAGACCCTGTCCATGTAGGACAAATGCTGTTGAGACCACCACACATGTGATTTTACATTGCACCTACAGTATTACCAGTATAGTTGAGAGAAACTTTAATTCTTCTTTTATTGACATGTTTCATAGATCATAATGAAAGTTTTCTTCTTGATTTTCTCCTCAGATAAAAAACTGTTCATTACATACAAGGTTGTCAGATTCTGCCTGGTAGCAATTAAGATTTGTAAACAGATAATTAAGAGTCCTGGGCATGGGTAAACTCGCTAAGAATCTTTTATTTATTTTTTATTTTTATCTATCTTTACATCTTTGTTGTGGCCTTCAGTGCCCTGCTTTAAATTAATAGTCTTAATATTAATGTTAAGAATTTTGTAGACAGATTTTAATGTTTCAATATTATAGTATTGTGATAGCAATGCTAGTTTTTAGTTATTTTTATCTCTCATAAGTTTCAGCGTTATTATTAGAATACCTTATGCTGGTCTATGACCCAAATAAAGATTTGATGGATTGATACCTCCAAATCAATCCTGAAGAAATATAAAGGTTTTGGAATGGCTTTCACAGTCCTCGCACTTGAATATTATTGAAGATATTTAGAGAGATCTCAAACATGCAGTGAAACAGCAGAACACCCTGAAGGGTGCCAAACTTTTGCCCTTGACATGTTCACTGTTTTCATATTCTGAAACTGTGCACAACTTCACATAAAATAGTAACTATGCATTCAAATTTGCAGAAATATGTTACATTTGACTTTGTGCAATGATGTATCAGCTTCCATTCACTTAGGGATTAATTTAAAGATACAATTTGACCTGGATTGCCTAAACTTTTGTATATACTATAACTGTGTATACTAGAAGTGTACCAAAAAGCATTCTGGATTCTCAGATATCCCAGACAATCATCTTCATTTTATTTTCACTCCAGCTCCACCCAGAATGTCCTGAACATCCTTTTTACTAAGCAGACAAGCCATCTTCTCTTTTATGGATTGAGAATTACCAGGATCCCACTATCCTTTTCTCAATATAGGTCAGCAACCAAGGCGGCCAAGGAACCTCTCTACCAGTAACAGGCCTGAAAAGAAAATGATTATCTACTTCTATTTTAATCTCATACAATAATGTAAGGCATTAAAGAGATTGCTCCTTGCCATGTACCTTGCTCAAGAATAGAAGATTAGTTGATAATCCTCACAATTCTCAGAATCCAGGCAGAGTATTTTCTTAGCACCATTGCCTCACTCAAGGTGGTTGGGACTCTTCCTTTCTCAAAACGGTATTAAGCTTTTCCAAGCTTCCTCTTTCAGTTAGTGGTAAGAGTAGTACAAAGAGCAAATATAAGCTAAGTAATAGTAAGCCAAGCTAAGTGCCTTATCCACAATCTTACACCACAATAACTGAAAGTTACCTCATCAACTATGACTACATGGTGGACTGGACACATCAGATATCTATTGTAGGAGCTGTGATATCCAAATGAAGAAAACTCAAGAATGCCTAGCAAACAATTCTGAGTTTGCCATCAAGCAGTTCTCAGTACTATTTGAAAACTGAAATGGAACAAGTTCTAAAGCAGTGGCTCTCAATGGTGTTATATATATTGTAGGTGGGAATCAGAATAAGTCACTAAAACTTTAATTGAGTCTTAAATTTCCAGGATGGCACCCTGAGGAGGTAATGCTGCTGAGAAAATATTGTTTCTTCACTATTGTAGTTGCAAGCATAATACTACAATTCCTTGAGTTTAGTTACTTATGATTAAGTTGACTCATTGACTTTCTTATGATGATTATTCTTAATCCAACCAGTTGTATTATTTCCAGCTCTGTATTAACTAAGCTTGAGTTGTGGAAGAAGCCACTTAGAAAGAACTGAATCAATAACTTCAATCCCCTCAATATCTCACAAAGTAATGGAATGTCACTAAGCCAAATTCTGTACCCCTAACATCCTGCTAGTTTCCAGAAGCACGCAATTCATAATATTTTAAATTTTAATTTACGCTAACTACTATAATGTTTTAAAAGGTATTTCCTTGTAAACAGAAAATTCTACTGCAACTTTTGCAAGACTAATCTCAGTTTTCTTTTGAAATTCCATGAGAAAAGGAACAGATAGATCACTGCTCCATCCTTACAGTAAACGAATCTCAAGCTCATTTACAATCTGAGCACTTTATTTCAAAGAGGAAAATATCTCTAATTCGCATTAAGTCTTGCTATTTCACCTGATACACAGAGAGTAGGAAATTATACATGCTAAGCTGTTAAAAGCAAAAATCAGTAACTTTTTCCTTTGTGATACCAAAAAACTTACCTGTGCCAAAACATTGAGAACTAAAAGAATAAGAATTACAAAATAATTTGCCCCAGCAGAAAAGTACTTCTTATAAATGGTAAAGCCAATTTTCCCCTCTGAACGACTTTCTTCTGGCAATGCTGTTAGGACTGGTCCCATCTGCAGCACATTGGATGTGAAAATTAAGGAAAAGGATTTTGTTAAGACCAATTTCTATGAAAAATAACTTTCCAAAACAGATTTTCTAATTCTTTAGTCACCTTCCTCAAGCTGAGGAAATAATGCATCTACACTGCGTGCACAATTATTAGGCAAGTT